AGGCAGCAGCTAGGGTCCCCTGGTGCGCTTGGAGCACGGGGGCCGCGTGCGCTCCTGTCCCGGCAGCCGAGGGGTTGCTCGAGCACGCTAGCACGCTCAGGCTGAGCTGGGGTCCGGGCCCCCTCCCTGCGCCAGCGCAGCCCCCGGGAAGAGTCCAGGAACCCAGAGGGGCGCCTGTCACCGCTGTGACATTGGGGGAGCCTCGGCTCACACCATCCCGTATCAGGGGCCTGCCGTGCTGACCCCACCCCCTCGGCGCCAGCCTCGCAGGGACTCCTCAGAGGTTGACCTCGGGATGTGCCGTCTCTCCCCCCCCCAGGTCATGATGCCGCCGCCCAGGAGCAAGAAGCCCAGATAGACGCCTCGGCGGCCTGGGTCGTGGAGCCGCCCGATGCTGGCAGTGGGGCCCGCCATGGACGGCGAGTTTCCTCAGCACGAACCCCCGCCAGCGGGCGGCATCCTGTACAGCCCGCCGCCGCTGCAGACCCCGCTGTGCGGGTCCGGCGTCCAGGTGAGCCCCCGCCATCCGCGGTCGGCCTCGGGGCGGGACGCTGCCCTCGCGGGCGGGTGCGGCCGCAGCTTCCCTTTCCAGGGCCTCGAGCAGACGTCCCAGTCCCCGGCCCGGCAGGGGGACGCCTCGGGGTGCCCGCCTGCCGTCAGGTCTGTTTGCCAAGGCCGTGACGGGCCCTCAGGGAGACGCTCAGGCCTGGGCTGCCGCCGCCTTCCCTGCAGGACAGGGGCCGGGGCCTCTGTGATGTGGAGTTTTTTACCAAGGTTTCCTATTTTCAATTTAATGGACTTTGTGTCTTAAGCAGTTTAGGGTTTATAGAAAAATTGGACAGAAAGTTCCCACCTCTCCCACTTTCCCCATCGATAACGTTTTTCATTAGTGACCCTGCCGAGTTATCGCAACGGATGAGCCAGCACCGAACGTGACGAACCACGGTCCACAGCGGACACGAGGTCACTCCTGGTGCGGCACACCCCGTGGGTTCGGACGAATGTCACGGACACCTGCCCACCACCACGGTGTCGTCCGGAGTAGACCCACGGCCCCGAAATTCCTGTGCTCCTCCCATTCACCCTCCCCCCACCCCGGCAGCCGTGCCTCCGTGGTCCTGCCTTGTCCAGAACATCCTGGACTTGGAACCACCCCATGTGTCGCCTCCTCAGCCTGGCTTCTGTCACCCAGTGCTGTGCGTCTGAGGCTCCTCCGTGTCTCTGTGCGGCTCGGTGGCCCGTTTTTAGTGCCGAGTAATATTCCCTCGTCTGGGCCGGGCCACTGCGTGTTTATGGACCGGTTTACCTGCTGGAGGGCGTCTCAGTTGCTCCTAGGTCCTGACAGCTAGTGAAGTATCTCAAGTAAAAGCACCACAGGTTCCAGCAGCTGCAAAGGGCCCCGTGGAGAGAAGGGTTCAGAATTGTGCACCAAGTCAGGCCTGGAGCCCCCCCGCTCCCGGTTTCTGGGGCGAAACCAGGGTTCTTTCTCCTGTAGAAAAGCAAACGGTGTTTCTGAGTAGAGAGACTTGAGCTGCCGGGAAGGGAGGGAGAAGGGTGTCGGGACACAGTGGCAAGGGGTGTACGTGGCTGGGGCTGCCACGGGGTCCCTCCTTCAGGAAAGCGTCAGCTGCCGCCTGCCCCTCGGGCCTGCTGGTTTCGGGCCGGGAGGAGGGCCAGGTGGCAAGAGAGAGCAAGGATCGAGCCTGGGTTTGAGAGGAGCCGGGAAGTGGGCCGCTGGGGTCAGGCTAGCTCAGGGCCCGATGCCCAGAACCATCAGGAGGAACCTGGAAAAGCAGAATTCAGCCTCCGTCCAGATGTGCCCACGTGGCACCCTCACGTAAGAGGCGCGGGACAGAAGTTGTGTAGGTGAGCCATCAGTCTGGGGAAGGCAGAAATGAGTTACCCCCGAAGGTAACACTTCCAGGCCTCGGCTGCCGTCCAGCGCCTCTGGCCAGGGTCCCAGACGTCACCGTGTGCCTCCTCTCTCTCCCTTTCCTGTTGGAGCTGTGTCCACATGTCCCCTGACCCTCCGTGTCCCCCTGCTCCCCTCTGAACTTCTGCCCGCGTCGTCATGGCGATGCCTTCCTGTTCCCCACGTGCCATCTGGCCCCTGGCAGTCAGCGTGTGGGCTCTATGTCCCGCCACTTTGTAGTCTCAGAGCGTGCGTTTGTCATTCTTAACAGCGCTGCAGGATTCCTTCTTGTCGGCATCCCATAACTTGCTTAATGATTTCCCTATTGTTGGGCCTTTGGGGTGATTCCAGTTTTCTGCTGCTATAAATAGCACTGTGTGTCCCCCCCCCCCCCCCCCGTCCCCGTGGATTGGGCAGGAGGGTGTCCTTCTGAATCAGTTCCTGGGTCGGAAGGAGCACTGGGTAGGGTCACAGATTCTGGGCTGGGGCCACACCCTCTCAATGGTGGCCCGTATGCCGACGGGGAGGACGGGGCACGCCTGGGCTGCCGTGGGGACCCACTGCAAGGGATGTGCCTCTCCGAGCCCGACTCTGGCTCTTTCTGAGGCTGGGCCACTCCTCCCCAGGCTGCACACTGAGCCTGTCCCTGGTGGGCTACCAGCTGTGAGGGCTGTCCCCTACCCGGGCCACTCCGGGTGCAGCTCCCGCTGACGCTGAGCGTGTATGTGATCGGTGTGGTCATTCATCTGTCCTGGCTGGGCTGAGCCACCGTCAGGAGAAGGAGACCTACCCCAGGACTGCCAGTGTCATTGAGGTGGCCAGATTTAGCAACTGAAACTACAGCCCTTTAATGAAACGTAAGTTTCACATAAACGCAAATGATATTTTAGTGTGTGTGTTCTATGCAACGTTTACACTAAAAATTGTTTGTCGTTTATCAGAAATGCCAATTTCACCGGACACCCTGTATTTTATGTGGCAGCCTTATTTTATCTGCTGCCCTAGTGAGAGTGTTCTCTTCTGACGTCAGCTTCCGGGTGGCCTGGGCAGCCTTGGATTAATGTCCCAGGGCTTGCCTCTCCCCAGGAGAGGCCAGCCTCTCTGTCTCCACCTGAAATCCCCAGGCAGGCTCGAATGGGCTGGTAGGGGTCAGGCATCCATCTCTGGACCGATCAGGTCCCAGGGGCCTGCCCTCTAAAGGCAAAGACGTACCTCTGGCCTTAAGTGGAAAATCCCAAGGAAACCTCTGATTGGCTGGCTGGGTTCAGGGGCTCCTCTCTGGACCAATCATGACCCAGGGGCCTGCCCTCTAAAGGCGTGGCCACCCTTCTGGCCTCAAGTGGGAAAGACCGAGGTGGGCTCTGATCGGCAGCTGTGTGGTGCCCCTGAGCTGGGGGAGGAGTGACCTCCCACCCTCCGGCTTCCTGGCTGAAGCCCCAAGGTCCTAGAAGACCTGGGGTTCTGGGTGCGGCGGAGAAGGTTGGGTAAATGAAGGCCCTCCACGGCCGGGAGCCCCCTGAAGCCTTGAGGCCGGCCCTGCCTGCTGTGTGCCCACGGTGCCACGTGTGCGCCTGGGATGGTTTATGCCAGTTCATTGAAGCGGCTGAGTGTGGTCTCTGCTGTGGAAGCGTTCCGGGAGTGCCCTGGAGGGGGAGCCTTCCGGAGGCTTCCACGGCGATTCCTCCGTGATTGCTCCAGCCTTCGTGCTGGAGCTGCTCTCGTCTTACAGCCCAGCCCCTTCGCGGAGTGTGCGTCTCTCCTTCCTAAGTTCTGGCTCTCTGCGGCTGGACGTGTGGACACCGACCGCCCTGCAGGGGTGGGGTGTTGGGGGGAAACGCACAGTGATGGGAAGTCAGGGCCGGCTCCTCCCTCCCAGACACAGGAGCTATGCATAGAAGGGCGCCTGGTCTCCCAGCCATCTGGGCTGGTTCCGGGCCAGCTGTCGTTCACGGGTCCCGTGAGCGGGAGGAACCGGTGGCTGGGGGATCGGTTCCTGGCGGCCCCGCTAAGGAGCAGGACCCGCGTGGACCAGCGGGAAGGCCGCTGCGCTTCCGTCTCTGGACATGCCGTCTGGCAGAGCCAGCTAGGACACGTAGGGGACGGTGACGGCCGCCAGCAGGCCTCTCCCCACTGCTGGTCGGGGACCTCCCCGACATGGTCCCACGTGGGCCACATTGTGGGTTAGGGGAGGGACCCCTGCTCGGCAGACTGTGTGTCAAGGTGGGACGAGCCACTTCTTTCGTACGGAAGGTGGGGGGCGTGAGTGTCCACCGCCCTCCACCCTGAGCCGGTCTGGTCAGAGCCCAGTGCAGGGCCCCTCAAGTGCTCGCTGACCTCAGGCTCATTCTTCCAGCCTCCCATCAGTGTTTCTCAAAGCAGGCTCCCCAGGACCCTTACCTGTGCTGCGCTCTTGGGCCAAACAGGCTTGGGGGTTTCCAGGAACACCCTTGGCCACAGGGAGTTCTCAGAAGGCCAGGTTCTTGTCCCTTCTCCCCCCTCCCGGGAGGGGGCTGGGGCGGGGGCGGGGACCGGTCCTCGGCGCTGGTGGGAGCCCCTCTAACGAAGTCCTCTTTGCCACACGGCGCCTCCCTCGGGGCTGGATTGGAGGGGGGAGCTCATGCGGCCGTGCTTCTCGCCCAGTCCCACCCTGTGCTTTCTAGAACTGGGGGGCCTCCATGCAGAGTCCCTGGCCCACCAGCACGCCTGGATCCTGTGTGAAATGGGGGCTCCCGGTCAGACCCTCGGATGGGCTGCCCAGGCCCCTTCAGGGGTTCTGGAGGCACTCCAGTCCGGAGTTGGGTCACACCTACCCACCCCCGCCCTGCCCACAGAGAGGCCTACAGCGCGGCACACCAGGCCCGGGCCCGAGCCCTTCACGGGTGTGGACGAGTTCCCCTCGGTGGGGAACTCCCATCTCCCATGCAGATGGGCAAACTGAGGCCCCGAGCTGTTAGGTGGCTAAGTGACTCCTAGGTGACCCAGGTGGGACGCCACAGGGTGACGTTTCTACCTGGACGGGGTCGCAGCGTCCTCCCCCCCTCCTCACTGAGGAGCCCCCCGCCCCTTCCACAGGGCAGCCCCTCCTGACGCTCTTGGTCTGTTCCAGAACACCATGCTGCACTACCCGTGGTGGAGCTCCTTCTCGCCCACGCCGTACCCAGCCTTCTCCAGCGAAAGCCAGTAAGTTCCTCTGGCCTCCGGGGTCCGAGCAAGCCCCGCCACGTCCCGCTGGGTGGCCACAGTGCCCTCGAGGCCTTGCGTGGCTCTGCAGCCACTGGTTAAACAAAACTAGAGCTCGTGGCACGTGAGGGGCTTCAGTGTCCTGCTGAGGGGGCCGTGGGCTGCGCCCTGGCCACACGGAAGCAGCCGAGACTGACCGGCCGTGACTTGTCTTAGAAAGAGCCCGCCAGGAAAAAGGGCAAAGGTGGTAGGGATGAAGAGTCCTGGGAGGGCTCTGTGGGTACCCTCCGGGCAGGGGGTGGCCCTGGGCAGCGGGGGAGAACTTTGGGGGCAAAGGAGCGGGGAGGGCACTTGCCTGCAGAGGGCAATGGCGACCTGGGTTTTGAAGAGTCAGTAGGAGTTTGCCGGGGGAGCCGGCCCACAGCCAGGCCAAGGAGTGGCCTGTGGAAAGGACCCAGAGCACGGAGCCAGAGGCTTGAGGTCTCTCCGGGGCACTGTGTTCCGGGACGGGGGCACAGGGGCCTCTGCTCTGAGCTGAGTGTCTCGGATGCCAGAGCCCTCCCTTAGGCTCCTGAGGGCTGACCTTCCCTGTCTGCCTGCAGCCAGTTCATGAACTCCACCTCCTTCATCGTCAGCCAGCCCTGCGCGGACACCAGCTGCGGACCTTCCGCCGCCACCCCCAGCTTCCTGCCAAAGACAGGCGACTTTCCTCAGGTAGGGACCTGGAGCCAGAGTCACCCTTCGATCCCCACGTGCTCCGGGAGGCCCGTGCCACGCACTGGCGGCCTTGGCCGGGCCCTGGGCTGGGCTCAGGGCCACATGGAGCCACGGCTTGTCCTTGGGAATAGCCAGTGCTCCCCTCTACTGCAGGCCTGGCCTGAGGGCTCCCGACTCACAGCCACGCCTGCGTGGGCCTGTCAGGGCGGCTTCCGGGCAGTGAGAGAGCTGGGCTAGGGGCCACACCTGTCCACGTGCTGCTCACGCCCCCGCCGTGGGTTGTGGGGCGGTACCGTGGAGCATCTGATCCGCTTTTCCCAGACCTTAGCGCCTTCCTCTCCTGGGCAGAGGCCCCCGCGCCTGCTCCGTCTGGGTGCCTTACTTAGCGTCTCGGCAAGGGACGTTCCGTCTGGCACAAACCCCGTTGTTGGCATTTATGTCCCCAAACGGCAGCTGTTTGGAGAGCGTCACCCACCCAAACCGAAGGAAGAGATACGTGTGATCTCTTTTTTTGGAGAATCGGGGGGACCCTCCCCGGCAGGCGTCTCTAATGGCATGCGACTTCTCGTGGCGGCCCGGACACCGGGCGCCGCAAGAGGATTCGTGGGAAGGAGCCCAGTGCGATCGGAAGCTGGGGCTGGCAGCAGCCGGGCAGCGTGGTCTCCCTGGGAAGTTTGGAATCCATGGCCCCAGTGGTTTCGCTGTGGCACGCAGTTTGGGAACCGGCCAGCTTGGAGGGCCCCAGAGGCTCAGCTGCCCTGAGCCTGTTTTCCCTGTGAAGTGGGGGCCTGTGGGGGTGGCAGTCTGGGAGGCTGTGGCTCGGACCTGTCAGCTCAAACCCGCTAGAGCCAGACAAGCGCAGTTCAGGAGGCTGGCCGTTGTCCACGCGGCCTGGCCAGGCAGGGATCTGGAGCCTGGACCAGTGTCCCCCAAATCCGGGTCCACCCAGAGCCTCGGAATGAGACCGTTTTTGGAAACAGGGTCTTTGTGGGTGTCATTTCGCTGAAGATGGAGATGAGGTGATCCCAGATCACGATGGCCCTGACCCTAAAGGAGGAGAGACACAGACACAGAGGAAGCACGTGACCCCGAGGCAGAGTGAGCCACGCGGCCACGAGCAGGGATGCCAGGAGCTGGGCGAGGCAGGAGGGGCCTCCCCTGGAGCCTCCCGGGGATCGCGGCCCGTGACACCTTGACCTGGGGTGTCTCCCCCGCGGGGCCATCGGGGCACACCGGTGTGTTGTTTAAGTCCTCCCTCTCCATCTGGGACGCTTTGTGGCCGCCCAGGAAACGACCTGGCCAGGCCTGGAGGAGATGGGAGCACAGGGGCCCCCCTGGCCCTTGGGGGCGCACGCCGGCCTCCTCTGGCCCCCAGACCTCCCAGGGTGAGGAGTCAGTGGGAGGGGGATGGGAGGGCCCTGTGGACGGGGCCCCGTCCCGCAAGGGATGCCCCGGCCCCTCTGTTTGGCTGCCGCCGTCGCCCAGCCCGGGATGCAGCCGGTCCATCCGCGGCCCGAGACCCTCTCTGGCCTTCCGTGCCTCGGGGCTGGTGGCCCTGCCTGGCAATGAGCCCCAATGAAGTTCCTCCGCACGTGTCCCCGACACAGCTCCACATCCAGACGTGGCGTCCCGTGATGCTGATGCCCACGCTGGGGCGTCACCTGCCGCACGGACAGGGAAGCTGAGGCTCGGGTGCACGCAGGCCCCGCCCCAGTAGCCCCCCCCCCCCCGCCCCCCTGGCCCCACTCCCCCGACTGTGTCTCATGCCCTCAGCTTGCACAGCTGCTCCTGGCTCTGCCCGGAGCAGACACACTTTCTTCCACCAAGACCCCCTCGGGGCCACCGCGCCCGTTTCTCATCACGTGCAGGGGAGCTCAGCTGCACCCATCCCGCGGATACTTACTGAGCATCCGCTGAACGTGGCGGGAGCCTACCCTGCCGGGGGCACCTTGAACCCAGATCTTTTTTCTAAAGCCGCTTCTTCAAACAAAATCTCACCCCGTGCCAAGTGTGGGATTGACAGATGTGAGACCAAAGTTCAGATGCGGTGAAGGGTCTTGAGGCCTTGTTGGTCTCCATCACCTCCCTCGTGACCCCTGGGCCTGTGGGCGAGGACAGGAAGGGGGCCAGACCGAGCTTGGCATTCGAGGCCCTTCACAGCTGTGCCTCAGCCAGTGGACCCACCGCAGACACCCTCCGTTCCTAACTGACCAAATAACATCACCATGGTGACAGGCAAAGGGACAGCCTCAAAGACGTTCCCGTCCTGATCGTGGGACGGGGGACCTGTCCCCTCACGCAGCAGAGGGGACCTCGTCAAGGCCCCCGAGGCGGGGGTAGCCCTGGGTGCTCCGGGGGGGCCCGGCGGCCTCACAAGGCCCTCTCGAGAGGGAGGCAGAGGATCAGAGGCAGAGAGACAGGCAGACCCCGCGCTGCTGGCCGTGAGGATGAGGAGGGGCTGTGGGCCCAGGATGCGCCCCCTCTGGAAGCCAGAAAAGGGGGGAGAGGGCTATCCCTGGGGCCCCGGGGAGGAACATAGCTCTCCATTTTGGACTTCTGATTTCCAGAACCATAAGGTAATAAGCGTGTGCTATTTTAAGCCATGAGGTTTGTGGTAGTTCATTACAGTGGCAAGAGGAATCTGATGGGCCATGTGAAGCCCTCACGTGGCCCCTGGCACACTCTCGAAATGTCCCCACTGTTGTAGAAGTCAGAAGAAATTGGGATAGAAAAGCCAGAGCTGGGCTGGGGCAAGGAGTGGACGTAGGCCTGCAGGCCTTAACGTGCGTCCTCCTAACTAAACCTGAGCTCTGAGTTTCCTAGCAGCCAAAGCAAAAAGAGAAAGGAGAGGAGCTGTGTGACTCTTGTTGCCTGCAGAGAGAAAGCTTCTCTCCCAATGTCCTTCTGGGGCACCGAGCAGTTCCTTGGGGTCAGCATCCCGTGCCCATCTCCCCGGGGACTGCTTATGGCGTTGGTTCCCAGTCCTGTGGTTGCTCTTGGCTCCAGCTTTGCTGTCTGAGGGCCTTTGTTCCTCCTGTTGTGACTAGGGCTGAATCATTGGACGTTAGGGGTACCGGGTTCTGTACCAGGAACCGGGGACCTCCCCTGGTTCTGTACATGAGCCGACCCAGACCCAGGACCATTGGTGGCAGGTTGGTCTCGCCTTGATGTGGGGTCCTTGTTTTATTTGTGTTGTTGTTGTTAATTTTAATTTTATTTTTAAGTAAACTGTGTGTCCGAAATGGGGCTTGAACTCGTGACCCCAAGATCAAGAGTTGCATGCTCTACTGGCTGAGTCCATCAGGCATGCCAGGGTTCCTGTTTTACAGACACCCAGGTGGGGCCCACATCCTGTGGGACCCTGCTGTCAGGAATGCAGCAGGTCAAGGCTCACCCCCACTCTGAGGTGGTTCTGCCCTGCGCGGGGTGGGCCTCGTTCAAACCACGAGCCCCCTGCAGAGGCCCAGAGCCCAGGGGCCCAGGCTCCAGTTCGGAAGGCCCATGCACCCAGGGGTTATCTATAAATTTAAGGTCTGATACTCTCTTTTTCTGTTTGTTCGTTAAGGTTTTCGTGACAAGATGACTTTCAAAGCACTTTAGGTTATAGGGAGGTTGCAAAAACAGCACCAACTCTTCTCGAACACTGTCACTCGTTTGCCCAGTGTCCTGGCACGTTGTTGTCTTCTGGAACCACGGTCCATTATCACGGCGCAGAGAGTGGCCCCCGCACAGCACCAGTGGCCGACCGGAGGGCCGGGGCCGGGGCCCCCGAGGCCTCTGTAGAGAGCTGGTCGGTCGCCGCCGAGGGCCCCTGCCTGGGCTGGCCTGGGGCCCTCACGCTAAGGAGGGGTTCTGTGTTGTTGACAGGAGTCCCGCGGACGGGGCGCTGCGTCCTCCTGGGGCGTCACTTTCCAGCCCGCTGGCGTTGGCGTGCCTTACCGCTGACGGCCCTGCCCTCCAGCCCCGGTTGGGGACCGCCCCGCGCCCCCCTGTCCCCCACCCACTGTCAGGGCGCTGCCATTTCCCCCCTCCCCCTGCGAGGCTGCGTCCGGGACCCTGGTCCCTTGTGGTGGGGAGGGGGGGTGGATTTCCCCAGGCACCGGTAGACGTTGCCTGCAGTGACCGCCACGGGGTCTGGCTGGCAGGCGTTTTTGTCCTTGCTCCGCCCTGTCGGTCAGCCCGAGGTCTTCCGTAGGGAGAGCTGTGCCTTCCCTCACTCAGTCATGTCGGTGACAACACGGGCTACGGTCAGGTGCTATCCGCTGCTTCTGCGTTGGCTGTCG